AATTCAGGCTTCATTGTGATACATCAGGGCAAGCAGACAGTCCACACCAAATGAAGGGCATGTCTACAGGTTGAATTGCATCTACCTAGACACTGTTTCCCACCAACACCAAGATTGTACACCACTACTGACAGCATCCTTCCTCCCCAATATTCATAGTTTGCCTCGGCATCCCGTTAAATATCTCATACTCCCTTTCCATGCATCCCCCAAGACAGTACTTGTCATTTCAAAGAATGCCTTTATACACCTCAGCATGAATTTTACCCTCTGGGTTATTAAATCTGACATTAAATTTGTGCAGAAATGTTAGAGAGATTTCTTAAAACAAAAAATCTCTAAGTTTTCTGTTTAAATCAAGGCATAGTTAAGATAATTGTTATGTTTGGATGAAAAAAAGGCATGACATCGGGGGGCTGACAAAACTATTGACATCTGGTGCCTTTAAGCACTTATACACTGCTCCTTAAAGTGCTTTAAATTAAACCCAACTTTGCAAGCACTTCCCCCATTTTCTTCAAAAACAATGGGAACAGTTATGCTTAAAATCAAGTACAAATCATTTGTTCAAGGGCAAGGGGTTGTGCAAGTTCGTTGAGAGCTATAAGAACCATTCCACCATAAAGGCATTTGTTGAAGATAAAAATGGGAATGACACACAAGACATTTATGTGTATCTAAAACCCCAAACGGTGCAGAGGCTCAGGCTAAGCTTAATCTACACTGCCAGTCTATCACTCAAGTTTATTTCACATAACTTCTTTTCTGCCATTACTGGTGACTAATTTTGCTACAGTGGCTTTGTTTTCAGTTTACTGAATGGCTTTAAAAGAGGATTCGGCAAATTTACGGAGGACAACGCTATTGATGGCTACTAGCAATCTGGCAATCAGGGAAGCAGCCATGAGGAGAAAGGGCTTTGAACACCTACAATTGCAGCACCATCCTCTGCAAGAATTTCTGCTGCCAGAAGAGGAGAAGCAGGGTAGGAAATGTCTCAGCAGGCTTGTACTCCTTGCAAATTATACGCAAAAAGTCGCCGATGCATTCTGAAGCTGCGTGCATGCACTTTTTCAGATGCAATTGAATTTCAGAGACTTTGAATAGCTGTAAGGCAGGATTTAGAGTTCAACAGGGCACTGGCAGCATTTGCATTGCTGGTGTGTGGTTTTTTTTGCCTTTGCCCCATAGGTAGGACAAATATCAAATTTATCAATGCAATAGCTTTTTGTTGTTGTTGTTGTTGTTAATGGGTGAACTGTCCAGAGGACATGTTTAAGTGGGCAGTATAAAAATGCAATGAACAAATGAATGGCACATATAAATATCACAGAGAAATCATTATTTCCCCCTCCCTATAAAGCAGGCATAGGCAACCTTCGGCCCTCCAGATGTTTTGAAACTACAATTCCCATCATCCCTGACCACTGGTCCTGTTAGCTAGGGACGATGGGAGTTGTAGTTCCAAAACATCTGGAGGGCCGAGTTTGCCTATGCCTGCTGTAAAGCTTTAAGTCACATAGAGAATATAGAGAACATGGCAGTATACTCTGTTTTTTTCTGACTCTTGTTACATTGGTTACCTGCTGTTGTTCAACAGCATGCTAGTTTACTGCTATTTTATATTGGACTTGGCATTAATATCTTTTACTTGTACTAGAAGATATTTATTTCCCTGGTGGATGCTTCAGCTTCTTTGCCATTCGCCTGAGGCTGAAAGAGCACTATTACCAAACTGACGGCAGAGAGGGAATGGGACTCAACGCTATAGTGATATTGCACCAGCCAGCTGCATTCCTCATCCCATTAAAAGAGGACATTTCCGCAAGGATATTTCTCCACACGCTGGAAGTCCCTGAACAACAGCTGCATACTGTGGGCCTCGTGTTTTCTTTTCTTTTTTACATTACCCCTTCTTTTACTCATGTCTCTATTACCATTGCACACAAATGTGACTTGGGCGGGGGGTTGTAGAAAAGATGGGCTTGGGATGATCTTCCACTATGAAGCGCTCAAAAATTCTATGTGAGAAATTTCATTCTCGTCTGTTGTGGGTTCCCTTGTAATTCAACTGTTTCCGGTGGCACCAAGGCCAGAACAGCCATTCGCTCTTAACAGGACTATAAAATGGAATGATTGTCTATATGTCAGCACTGAAAAGGCCCATTGGCTTTTATAATCAAAATCAAGCTTTGCACAACTACGTGTTTTTAAATCAGTATTTTACTGGCTTAGATTCCATACCATTGTCCCATTTCTACAAAATAAAAGCTGAAATATCTCTTGTTTCTCTCATGTTTTGTCTGTGTTATCCAGACAAAACTATTCTAATTTGGGGAACTGGAAGTGCTCTCTATGCATTTCTATATCCTGCTTCAAAAAGATGGAGCATTTCAGGCTTTGGCCTGGTCGCTGCTCCACTGATCCCACTGTGACTGCAGATTGTAAAATGTGAGCTGTGCTGAGAACATTAAAAGGGTCTGCTGGACCAGGTCACTGGCCCACCAAGCCCAGCATCCTCTTCCCACAGTAACCAACCAGATGCCTATGGAAAGCAGTACCTGAGTGCAACTGTGGTATCCGCATTTGAGATTCCCATCAACTGGAATTGAGAAATATGCTGCTTCCAAAAGTGGAGGCAGAACATAGCCTGATCCTTCAGGAATCTGTCTAATTTTCTTTTAAAGCTAGTTCACTAGTTCTTGCGGGAGTGGAGTCCACAATTAAACTAAGTGTTAAGCTTTTCTTTGGGATACTTTTCTTGGTCCTCATTGGATGCCAGTTCCAACATGTATACAGACCCTAACCGATGTGTGAAAGATACATGTGCCCCAGCTAAAAATTGGCTGCTGTTTCTTTAATGCTAAAAGAACTACAGTAAGTCAGCATAAGTCAGCAGCCTACAATGACTCATGCAACCTTTCACCTAATTGTATCTGTATATATAGAGTGGTCAATTTTGGTGTGGGTGTGGGTTGGTTGGTTGGAGCTGGTAGTGTTGATGTGTGTACAGTTGGTCGGTCGTTTTGCCGATAAAGACTTTTAAGAATAAAAGCAGCATTCTGTAAAGTACTCTTTCTCAAGGAGAAAGAGTGCCGACTAGGGTCTGAGGACCAGGCTGAGGAGACAAAGGAAGTCAGGACTTTTGCTTTTTTCAGACACTGACCACATGTACTCTCTCTTTCTCTCTTTCTCTCTCTCTCTCTCTCTCTCTCTCTCTCACACACACACACACACACACACACAAGTTGTTAATGCATAAGTACAATGGTTTATGAACCTCACTCTCATATATAAATATTTACACCCACCTTGCCTTCCCACAGTACCATGATTCTTAAAAGCATGCATTACTAACTATATTGTGGAATGAGACAAAAGGGAATCAATGGCTCTGAGATATTGCATACTGAGCTTAAGATAATGTTTTCTGCAACATCATGAACCCAAAGAGCAAGCTCATGTTTTTGCCTGCCACTCTTGAAGTAATTAGCAAAACTTTCATTGACTTCTCTCTGCATACTAGGCTGGGTTTTAAATTTCCAAGGATGGAGTGGACATGTGAATTAATCAGCAATGGCTTCTGTTTTATTTTTCCCCTTCTTTGAATTTATGAAAGTAATTAGTTGCTTTGCCAGCGTAGATGAATCTACTTGAGAAATGCAGCCGTAAATGCTTGCTTACAACTTTAGTCAATTTCCTTGCATTACTGCTGCTAATTATTTCATGTTCTGCAGCACAACGCTGACACTCAGATTGTTAGCACAGATGTGCTGCTTCGGTTAAATCCTCCAGCTACCTTTTTATTAAGAAACTTCAAGAAACTCAATCACACCACTGAAAAAAACAAAGTATGCTAATAATCCAAAACGTTATGTACATAGTGCTGATAATGGTCCTTTAAATAATGAGTCCTTTCAAAAGTGCCAAAGATTGGAATAGCATCAAGGTAACACAGTGGCTTTCAAACTTTTTGAACTTAGTCCCCATCCCTTTGGGACTCAAGAAGCTACACATGGAATTGAGGATTGCAAAAGCTTTCTTGTTACCTCAGGCTCTTCTGAAAGTTCTTCCAGAAAGATAGGAAAGTTGCAGCTTCTGAATGGATCCCCACAGGCCAGCCACTACTTCTTCTGTTGCATTTGGAAAAAAGAGAAGAGCAGCCACACAATTCTAGATGCAGCAACAAGGGATGGCTTGAAACAAGCTAAGCCATTTTGCCTTCCTCCTCTTGCTCCTCGCCATAAACATTTGTAGGCTCCTGGCTACCCATTCAAGGCCAGTCTACGAGGCATGATTGGTACAGTCTATGGGTCAGGGAGAGATTAGATTCAGCTTTAAAGGTGAAGTTATTCCAGACTTTTTAAAACCAAAACACAGTCATCCTTCAAAACCGAAACAAAGCCAGATGGGCAGGGTATAAATAATAAAATTATTATTAATTCACACCCATGAGAATTTTGCAATGCAACAAAAATGTATACATGTTGAACTATTTTCATGAAGTTGAGAGGGAAAGAGAGGGAGACTGAGTAAACTGACATAGAAAACAGTTTCTAAAATACTGGAAAAATGAGAAATGAAAATGAAAACAAATGTGCTCGTTCACCCAACCGTGACACAGTCACATTCATTTTGTGTTGTTTTTTTATGTGAATGCTCTGTTGTCAGCTAAAATGGCAGCATCTACTCCATCTTTTACAACAATGTGCATAAGGGGAACAAAGTCTTCTGCTGCTTCCTTGCTTGTCTCTGCTCCTTTCTCCCCTGCCCAGTTCCCTCTAGGCTGGATCTACACTCACCTTTTAAACATTATTAGAATGATAGTAAAAATATCATTCTAAAATATCAAGACAGAAACAAGTCCCATTCCACAAGGTCTACCTGGTTTTTGGAAGGGGGCTGCTCTGCAGCTTCCTCTGGTTTCACATTATTAATGTTAAAAAAAGAGCACCATGTGGCTATATCGTTGTCAGAACCACTCCTTAACTCTTTTATAGTGTTAAAAGCCATAAAAAACAGTGTGGGAACTGGACTGGAAGAAATATATCAGCAACACTGGTGCACAAAGAAGTAAGGTGAGGAGACCGAAGAATTATTTCAGAGAATATGGAAAGCTGCCTTATACTAAGTTCACCTTCTTCAGTAATGCCTGTACAGGGCCGTGGTCCACTGAAGAAAAACTCTCACCAGTCCTAGCCAGCATGACCAATACTTAAGGATGAAAGGAGGCGGAGTTCAGCAATATCTGAAGGGCCATAAATTCTGCACCGGCATGTGTTTTGCCACTGAGCTACAACACTCCTTGACATATATTCCATCCTATGTTATAGATGAATGGGGGTGTACATAAATAGGAGTGTTCCTGGCACATCTAGCTTGGCCCCCAGCTGAGGGAAATTGCAACTATTCCGCCACTGATGGCTATCATGGCAGTCTTAGCACCTCCCAGAAGATCTCTCACCACCACCACTCCTAAACAAGCCCATTCTATAGTCTGAAAAACCACTAATTTAATGTCAGCTGAAGAAATCAAATAGGGAGAGTAGACAGGCATAATAAAAAAAGAAAAGAAAATGGTCATATTATAAATTCCACAACGCTCCAGATGTTAAGGCAAGCTTTGTCGGTGACAGCTGTCACAATTACAGTGATTTCAGACAATTACCTTCACTCCAGATAAATATAAAACAGCCAAATACATGTTTTGGCTTTGATGTGAAGTCAGACAGAACCATTGATAAATTGTTGCTCACAACCGCATGGCTAAGGGGTGAATAACAAACTAATTCTAATATTTCTTTCCTTTATGTTGCAAAGAGACTGAGTTACTTTTGAAGCTCTGAACAGAACTCAGCTTCTGCCCCTAGAGATAAGAAATGTGCTGGATACAATTTTATGAAGCTTAGTGAAACTTCTAAAGGGAAGATCTCTGCACCTAGATTCCTCAGTAACTGGCATATTAAAATTCCACAGATAAGATGCGTCCCCATAGCCTTATTGCAGACCACTATGCTATCTCTTATTCAAAGCTGACACAAGGAAGCAAACATCCTTTCTTGCTGAAGAACATTTCCATAAGATATTGGGTAGGATCAGGGCTTTCTTTCAACCACAGTTCAGCTCCAGCACCTCTCAGGTGGGTGCCATTGAGAACAAGAGAGAAATTTCATGGTGAACTCCAGCACCTCTTTTTCTAGAAAAATAGCAACTGGTAGGATCCAACTGGTCCCCTTGCACTCACAATATGGTTTTTGAACCAACAGAGGTACACACTTCTGCAACAGGAGGGAAGGCAGTTTTGCTAATTTCCCCTCACCACCATCAACACACTCCTGGAAGTCAGCCTTAGAGACGTGGGGAATTTCTCCAGTACAGGGGGAAAGCAGCAAAAATCCACCCCCCTTCTATTAGACACAGACCATCGGGACTTGCACTGTTCCATCCACTCCATGGGATCAGCTGATTGTTGGTGCTTGCAAAATGCTACAACCCTGCTTTGGCTCCACCACACTTTAACCTTCCTTGAACCTGATATCATATATGAGATCAGGTGCAAGGCAAGTGGGCATGGCTTGGCCAAAGTTGCCAAATGGAGAAGGTCTGGAGAGCCTAATGAAGTTTATGGGCTACAGGTTCCCTACCATTTCATTAGCAGATTCCTCCACTGAATCAAAAGCCCTTCCATGAGTAAAGAGACACCAGCTGGATCCTGCCATTATTAACTTAGCAGGTAGCATTCATTGCCTAGTACATTAATTGTCTATTAGGTATACAGTGGTACCTCGGGTTACATACGCTTCAGGTTACATACGCTTCAAGTTACAGACTCCGCTAACACAGAAATAGTACCTTGGGTTAAGAACTTTGCTTCAGGATGAGAACAGAAATCGGGCAGCGGCGGCAGCGGGAGGCCCCATTAGCAAAAGTGGTACCTCAGGTTAAGAACAGTTTCAGGTTAAGAACGGACCTCCAGAACGAATTAAGTTCTTAACCCGAGGTACCACTGTAGAAGAGAAAACTAGAAGACTCAGGCCTAGTCTAACATTTACCTGCTATGCTCCAAAGAGAGCCTGTTCCTCGTTTTTGCTTCCCCAGTGGGTGAGTTGATGTTACGGCATTAGGATCTCACCTAGCATGTTTCAGACTTGTGCCCAGTTGCACTGGCCCCTTTAAAAACTACTACTATGGGGCAAACCGCATTGGGGACATATAACTGTTCCTATCTGAAGGTGTTGTTTCACAGAAATGACACCTCAACCATGTTTCAATAGGGCCACTGTTAGTATGCTTGGGGAAAAACACTGCAGAAGCATAGGATTGGGTCATTCTTCTGAATACTTCCATGCCAGTAGGAAGGTCATGGCCAGCTAGGACATTATAAACAGCACCTCCAGCTGGGTGGAGGTGCTGTTTATAATGTTATGAGTGTGTGAGAGCTATGCTCCTCTAAATTCTTAACAACCAAGGAGGTCTGTAGAAAAGGAGGTGCTCTCTTAGATATTTGGAGCTTCAGTTGTTTAGGTCTTTAAATACTAGCATGAACACCTGAAACTAGCCCCCTTTGAGCCGTCTTGAAGGGCAGCCCCATGTGGAGCACATTGCAGTTCTCCAACTCCTCAAAAGATTCCATCAACGGTGTCTCCAAAAATTTTTACAAATTAATTTGCCTGTCTTCCCAAGTGACATCAGTGTAGTGGAAGAAACAATTATCAACAGTGTTGAAGCAATGATTCTTCAACATCAACGTCATTGGACTGGTCATGTTGTGTGCCTTCCTCTTAGCACGTTTCTCCCTTGCGTCCCGAGTTCAAATGTCTTCAATTCCATGACACCTTTGGTAAGGGCTCTTCTCCAGTTGGAGCACTCACAGGCCAGTGTTTCCCAGTTCTCAGTGTTTATACTACATTTTTTAAAGATTTGCCTTGAGACAGTCTTTAAACCTCTTTTGTTGACCACCAGATCAACTCCTGCCCAGAAATCAATGTCCCCACTGTGGAAGGACATGTGGATCCAGAATAGGCCTCCACAGTCACTTACAGACTCATTGTTAAAAACGTGTTTATGGAAGACAATCTTACTCGGCTATGAGTGATTGCCAAAGAAGACGACAAAGAATCAGTACAAATAACAATGGGGAGGTCTCATATACTTCTGAAGGTCACTAGCTATTTGAACATAATAAAATAAAAGCTCTGTTTGAAGAGTTGTGTTTTAGCATACACCAATATAGTCTATGTGAAGACTTTAGGAAAAAAGCCATTATTTACCTAATAGGCCATCATGATTCCTTCATAACTGTTATGTTACATTATATATAATTTCTTCTGTCTTCATGGAACATTGATATGATAAATCCACTCCCTGCTCATTTTCCTGCAGGCTCACATCTTCCATTATCAGTAATGAGAGTTACCCACACATGCCGTGAAGGGAATATCTATCTCATGTCAGATGTTGTGCTGCCTCCCCACCCCAAAAACCTCATGCGCTTAAAAATAAAAACTTTTGTCACAAAAATAGTCGAGAGGTTCATTTGGGAGATAACGTAGCCATGATGAATACTGTGCAAACAGTACATTGATGTTGGACAAGATGATTACCGTATTTTTCGCCCTATAGGACGCACTTTTTCCCCTCCAAAAATGAAGGGGAAATGTGTGTGCATCCTATGGGGCGAATGCAGGCTTTCGCTGAAGCCTGGAGAGCAAGAGGCGTCGGTGCGCACCAACACCTCTCGCTCTCCAGGCTCCACGAAGCTACCCGCAAGCCTTGCGCACCCGGGGGGAGTTCCCCTGGGCGCGCAAGGCTTGCGGGCGGCAGCCTGTAGCGCGGAGCATGGGGCGCCCTCCGGAGGACGCCCCGTGCTTCGCGCAGGTGTCCACAGCCTGCCGCCCAGCGCGTGGGGCGCCCTGAAGCAGAGCGCCCCTCGCGCCGGGCAGACATCAGCCAGCCCCACAAGCTCAGGGGACAGCGGGGAGGCGCAGTGCCGCCATCCCACTGTTCCCCGACCTGGTTTTGGGGGGGGGGAAATAAAGGGAAAATTTTTTTTCTTTATTTCCCCCCCAAAAAAGTAGGTGCGTCCTATGGGACGGAGCGTCTTATGGGACGAAAAATACGGTAATTTGAATTTAGGGACACAGGTAGATGGGAAGCTCTCTTATACAATTGTCTACAATGCCTACATTGACAGGCAGCAGCTCCCTAGGGTTTCAGACAGGGATCTCATCCAGTCCTATGTGGAGATGCTGGGGTTTTAACCTGCAACCTTCTGCCTGTCCTCTCCCACCGACCTCAACTTCATAGCTGGTTTTGCCAAACTCGTGCCCTCCACTTGTGTTGAACTGCAACTTCCATCAGGCCTAGCCATCATGGAACTTTATAGGTTCCTGCCTTCATCATTGCTATATACCTTTTACTAAATCAAAAGTACAGTACTATCAGTAAAACAAGACAGCTAATATTTAGTCATTATTCTTCATCCTCAGATGGTAAGAATGGCAATGTGACATTTGCTGGTAACTTTTATAAACCCACTGTTTTTTATTTTAAAAAAAATCTCTTTCCCACTCCCAATTATTGGAAAAATTTCAGTGCTCTTCTCCCCATAGGAGACTATTTGAGGAAATTGCCTTCAGCTTGGCTGCCCACAGACAGAGTGAAGAATATGGAGTGTGACTATGGATGCAGTTTTAATATTGTTTAATAATATTTTCATATAGTTGGAAGGAATAAATGGGTTTGCTTCCTCCTACCAGTTCTCTTGTCTTGGTTTAATTATTTATTTCTGTTGATCAGTTGTGTCATAATACAGGTTCTCTAGATGGCTAATATGAACTTACAATATTAGTCTCATACAGTATTAACTGAGCCTAAATTTACCAGCAGAGAACTTTCTGGACATTTCCTCCTCTTCACAAATCTCCTTCGCAACCTGTTGGAAATTCTTGTCCCCTCAGAGGATATTTTGTGAAACGCTTCCCCAGATATTACCACTTGCAAAATTTTATATAGCCTCTCTCTCAACACATTGCTTAGGTAAAGGTAAAGGGACCCCTGAACGTTAGGTCCAGTCGTAGACGACTCTGGGGTTGCAGCGCTCATCTTTGCTTTACTGGCTAAGGGAGCTTCCGGGTCATGTGGCCAGCATGACTAAGCCACTTCTGGCAAACCAGAGATAGCGCACGGAAACGCCGTTTACCTTCCCGCCAGAGCAGTACCTATTTACCTACTTGCACTTTGTGCGTTCGAACTGCTAGGTTGGCAGGAGCAGGGACCGAACAACGGGAACTAACCCCGTCACGGGGATTCAAACTGCCGACCTTCTGATCAGCAAGCCCTAGGCTCTGTGGTTTAACCCTTAGTGCCACCCGCGTCCCTTTAGCCCTAAAGGTTACATGGAACTATATCAAACCATAATGGAAGAAGCAATCCAAAATAATACCCATCAAAGTCATCACAGTCTAATGGCCACAATCTCTGGAAAATGTCATATTGGATGATCAAAACAATGGCTCCTACATTGCCTACAGCAACATGTGAGACTGCTTCTACCCATTCACCGCAACACCTGAAGGAAGCCAAAACTGGATAAGAATGGAGACATGGTTTCTTCCCAAACCAGCACAGAGTTTAAATAGAAGTGATGCTGATGCAGGAACTAACAATAACACCAGCCCTGTCCCTCAAACATGGCCACTAGCATACAGCAGGAGACCAGTGGCTCTAGAGAATCTTCCCACCCCTTTACCTATAAGAGTTAGCTATCTGTAGGTGCATGGGCATCCCTGAAAACAGTGGGGAGGGTGAGCAGGGAAGATGCAGTGGCAATGGAGAAACTGGAAGAGGTGTGGTGTCATCAGCAGAGGATGAAGATTAGCATCAAAGACTCTATGCAAGGCCACCAGCGGGTACTTAACTGTGCTTACTCGGTGCTGCCAGGCCTGAGTTCTTGGATGGGGTGCACAAATGAAAGACAGTGGATTCAAGCCTCAGGTGACATCTTGGAATGGGTCATGTGGAGTGGAGACTGTTTTAATCAGAAGGAAGGGAAATAAAGCATGAAGTTCCTGGAGCTGACTCACCAGCTGCTATAGAATCAGAATTGTAGAGTTGGAAGGGACCACAAGAGTCATTCCTGCAATGCAGGAATCTTTGCCCAACATGGGGCTCAAACCCAGGGCCCTGAGATTAAGAGTCTCATGCTCTACTGAATGAGCTTTCAAGGGCCTCACCCAATACATTCAGTATGTGTGTGAAGGAATATTTTAAGTCTGTATAACCAGCACTGCTTAAAGCTTTGTGTGCCATAGGAGAGACAGAGAGATTTTCTCGGATCATATATGGAGATGAAGCCTTCAACATATCTCCCACAAAACTGAATGTGAGGCAATATAAAAAAATTCCAATGCTTGTTTGACCCTCAGACTAGTTATCCATGTTGATTAATAATACATGGGCGATGTTATTGTGCATGTTGCTAAAACAGTGGATCACAGAACACCAGTTTAGCATGCACTGCTCTTTGAGAAAGTTTGTCAACAATACTTTACACACACACCACACACCATTTGCCTGCATTATGTGGTCAGAATACTGAACTTTTATCCCAAAGCAGGGATAAGTAGAAGCTGAGCTTGGCTTCTGGCAGCACAATTAATTTGTGGTTATCTAAATTAGAACTGGTGGATCTGTGTCCCACAAGGGCTTAAGCAGCTTCAAAAGGGGGAATTGACTTTGATGTGCTCAGCATACCAGATTGAATCTGGGCTTCAATTTAAGAGACATTTTACATGTCATTCATTCACAAGTCACCCATCTCAACACAGATGCTTCCCTCATTGGTCCATTAGCTAGCTACAAGTCTAATGATAAAGCTGCACAATCTGTCTAATTTCTGTTCCTTCTGAATTAAGATATGGTAGAAGTGTAATACCAGTTCATTATTTCTAAAAGTCATATTAAATTCCCCCTTGTCTACATTTGGGCCATTTTAACTATTGAAAGATATCCTAGCAATTAGATCACGATACAGTTGGGGAAGTTTTTCTTTGTCTTTCTTCTTTCTGCCTTTCAGCAAAACATTTCTTTCTGATAATATTAGTTAGATCAAAAATAATAATAAAGGGATTCGCTTACCCTATATAATATCAAGAGCCAGCCCTTGGTATTGTAAATCAAAGTTGTTTGAGGGTGAAAATTAAAGGATTGTCGTTAATATATGGAACCACACTTCATTGAATTACATTCATTATATTTCACATCTAAAATAGAAAGGATTTATCTTCCATGATTAGTGACCCATTATTCGAGGCTAAAAATATTCAGCATTTGCCAAGAATGACACTAGATTGTAAAAGATATTTTAGCAAAAACTCCTGGATGCATGCAGGTGGAGCAAGGTCAGCCATATAGAACAGCCACTTGACACATGCCAATCATGGTGCAAGGAAAAACACAAAATAGGTGATGTAACTGAGGATTGTGTCAATGTAAAGTTTAACTTTCATAATTTAAAAGTCTGATGCTGAAACATAGCACACACTGGGAAATATGCTAAGATATTGGTTTCTCCCTAGATATTGCAAGCTTAGCAGATCATCACAAAACACAGATAGAGTAAGGATACCTATTATGCTTTGGGACTCCACAGTAGGAAATTTTAATATTCCTTTTTTTGCAGTTCCTTTCCACAACAAATTAATCACGATGTAGTTAATGCATGATTTCCAAAACAAAATGCACAATTTGGTCCGTATTTCATCTACTGCTTTGTAAGAGTATGAAGTCCCAGAATTTGCAAGCACCGTAGTAAGTAATATGGATACTTCCTCATTGACATTTCTCATTTGACATTTCTAATATTAGCCTCAGCTGTGGATTGATATGCTCCAAAACAGTCAGGATTCCCCAGGGCAATGCCCTGTGCCAATATTCTGGTTCCCCTGAAAGCACTGCCATGTTAACACCAGAACAATATACATTGGCTTCACTCTACAAGCAGTGATGCTTGGAAGCTTCTGATACCTTGGGCTTAAGTTGGCCACAGTGATCCATGCGACGGTCATCTCCAGGCTTGACTACTGTAATTCGCTCTACGCGGGGCTGCCCTTGAAGCTGTCCCAGAAACTCCAGTGGGTGCAGAATGTTGCAACGAGGCTCCTCACGGGGTCTCTGCCATGGGAGCATATTCACTCAGTGCTTTTCCTGCTGCACTGGCTCCCGGTGGAGTACAGGGTCAGATTTAAGGTGCTGGTTTTGACCTTTAAAGCCCTTCATGGCCTAGGACCCTCGTACCTACAGGACCACCTCTCCCAGTATGCCCCACGGAGAGCCTCAAGGTCCATAAATAGCAACACCCTAGTGGTCCCGGGCCCTAAGGAAGTTAGATTAGCTTCAACCAGAGCCAGGGCTTTTCAACTCTGGCTCTGGCCTGGTGGAACGCTCTGCCTCATGAGACCAGGGCCCTGCAGGATCTGATTTCTTTCCGCAGGGCCTGTAAGACAGAGTTGTTCCACCTGGCCTTTGGCTTGGAGCCAATTTGATTCCCTCCCCCTCTTTCTTTTTTCTTTTTCCTTTCTCCTCCTGTGATGAGCCTGCATTTTAATATTTTAATGTTTCAATATTTTAATGTTGTATTTTAATCTTGTTTTTAAGTTGTATTCATTCAACTTGTTTTTATTATTGCTTGTTAGCCATCCTGAGCCCGGTCTTGGCTGGGGAGGGCAGGGTATAAATAAGTAATAATAATAATAATAATAATAATAATAATAATAATCTGACCCAATGAAAATCCAGGCTGCTGCAGTTCCAATGGTGCACAAATGAAACTGGGTATTTCTGCTGGGAGGTAGAAGCGGAGACATTCATACTGCACCATACCTGGGACAGTCTAGCACTATCTGAAATGGGAGGTTGCCAGAGAATCTAAAAAGGAGAGAAGTAGTGTGAAGGGAGCTATACTCCATCTTGCTCCACCCAAGTTCCATAATGCCAAACTGCAAGACAGTCATGGAGGGGAAACAGGTTCCCGATTCATCAGAACCAGGAAACATCTGGCCGCAAATAAAATTACTTTTCTCTTTTAGGAGGATTAAAATGCACTACTTTGAATTCCACCCTTTTAAGTTCTTTCCGTTTAGCAGAGACTTTTCATTCCCTGAGCTACAAAAATATAGTGTGAATGTCATTCTTGTCTGAAATGAGAAAAGGCTCCAATGCAGTTCATAACGAGCAGGAACTCATCTCAAGGGGAAAAAGACTGTCATAAATGGTGTTAAACTGCGAGAGACTGAATAGAAAATCCACGGACTAAAAGGCACATGAAAACTGATCTAGATGATCATCTGAGTAACGACCTTGCTGCTTACAAGATCACCGACTTGCAGTATTCAACATGAACAACAAAAGGAAGTAAAGAGGGAGGAGGAGGAGAAATGTGTCAATATTTTCTTTGTAATAAAGTTGTTCGGTTGCTTTCAGTACTCTGCCAGTATTTTCACTGAAGCTATAAGCCAGCAGGAATTGAAACAGATCAATACCAGATCAACATCCTTTTCACTCTGGTTTTTTTGCTCTCTGAGATAGCTGCTAGCCTCCATGGCATTTGAGTAGCGCAACAGGCTGCATTCACCTCAAGGTAGAACATCACCAGTTCTCTCTCTCTCTCTCTCTCTCTGTGTGTGTGTGTGTGAGTGAGTGAGAGAGAAAAGAGGAGAGGAGAGGAGAGGAGAGGAGAGGAGAGGAGAGGAGAGGAAAGGAAGAGAGAGAATGGTAAAGTCATTCAAAAGAATGGCACTTTCAAATGTGACCTATTTTTCATTATAGATTGTCACTTGCCCTATGTTCTGTCGTGATTAATACAATCTTAAGGGTGCCTTTGTCCTGAATTTGCATGCAAATAATATTGTTCTGACCTCTCTGTAATTGCTATCCATGAAGCATGCTAACAAGGAAGGCATAGGTGGCTACAGATGGCAGCACCATGGACAGTTCCTATTGAGCAGCTTGGTCCAAGGTAGGCTATAACTCTTATGAGAGCTATGACACCCTGCCTCCAGACTACCCCTCTTAAGTTCCATCCCCTTACTTGAAGAACGTAGCATTCCTCAGTGTCAAAATCATGGCTCGAAGACCAGTGTTTATTCTTTCTCCGGCCTCTTGCCCAGTAAGAACACTGGAGCATATAGTAGTGCAGGAGGCAGCAATTAAGGTCCTGGCTCTGGGAGCTCTCTTTATGCAGGCCCCTGCAAGTCAGAATATAAGTGCCCAAAGTAGGGATAAGCAGCTCTGGCTCATTTAAATCCACCTAACCCACAGGAACAACGAGCTGCCTTGTCCTGGCAAACAATGCCAGGTATAAAAACTGGAAATCCAATGTGCGTATAAAAACTGGAAATACTTGTTTCCCTGCATACGAGCACCCCTGATAAGGTATGCTTCAAGATGGGAAGGCACAAATGGGTCCAAATTACACTTGCCTTCCTGCCAATGTGTCTCACCCAAATATGATAGATTACACCCCCATTTATCTGGTTTTAGTGGTAATGCAGAAATAGATTATGCATTTCTTTAACTTATTTATTGGTAAAATTTATATCCCACCTCTCATCTGTTAGGCGTCATTCTGCAAAGAAACAGAAAAGATTATTGTAGCTTTAAGAACATTTTCTGTGAGTTCTGGGTGTGGTTTTCTAGGCTGATTAGACACAGCTGGTGATGTGTATAAAAGAAAAGAAGTCACAGTTTGAATTTTGCCTGCAGAGAGAGAACACCCACGTGCTTTGTGTTTGTTGTTTTTGCGTACACCAGAAGAAAAACCGTCTCCAACATCATCATGAGCAATATCAGGACAAGAGTATATTATATAAAAAATATTCCCCCCCCCCCAGATTTCTATACCACTTGATTGTAATAAAACCCAAGAACATTTTACCAAAGAGAGAGAGAGAGAATGCAAAATATGCAATAAAATAAATCAATAAAACTATCTCAAAACTAGGTGGTTGGTTTTTTTAGTGAAGTAGGGTAATGTGAGTTTCTTGCAACTCTTAAACATGAGGTCAATGCAGCAAGAGCATAAAATCCCCCCATTGTGTACTCTCAATTTTGGAGGGTATCTAGTGGCCTGATTTAATGTTTTCTTTTGATTGGAAAGGGTGTGTAAACACACACAATCAATGACTCCTATACCAGTATATTGTGCTTATGAACAACTAGAGGATTGCCCTTTGTCCTGAAATGCAGTACAAGTAGAATATACAAGTCCTGACCAAACAGCATTTATATTTCACAATGGAAGCATCCAAATGTGTGAGAAGAGTAAACATCTCATCCTAATTACCTAAGTTAATGTTCACAAGATGGTGTCCAATCAGGGGTGGGAAAGCTTTGGCAGAAATTGTCCACATACTATCTGCCTTTGTAATCCAAACTTTGTTTCCTTCTTTGTCAATCTTGTAAGTTTTCTTGAACTTTGCACTTTTGAAATTCTAGCTAATGGCCATTTTCAGTGCTGTATCTCATGAAATACTTGTCCTAAAGACTTTCCCATACAACTGACTAGGGACTGCATGTCAGAAGCCTGAGGTATATATAAACTACTAACTTTATCGATTTTTTGTTGTTGTACATCAGTGCTCATACAGGGTTATTCTCCTAAACCCTGGCCAGCATGCACAGGGCTTAGCAAATACTAGAGATGGCTTATCAGGAAAATTATTTTTGTATGCTCTAAAAAGGAAAATACGCCATTGAGGGAATGTCTTCAGTACAAGATCTATTCCTACTAAGTGACCTAAACATCTGTTTTTGCTATTCTGATATAATGCTGCAAGGCCATTTTCACAAAGAAATTGAAATGCCAAGTGTGTAATTTTATATAATTATCAGTCAGAAATGTTGAGCCTTATGTTTGGTAATATGTAATATAGCAGGGTTTAGAGTATAAATCTTAACTATTAAAGTAGGTCCCTCTGCAGGATCACTTTGAAACATTTTTATTATTTAAAATAGCATTTCTAGACCACTGTTCAGACTAGGGTCTGCAAAATTTATTGTTTATGATTTAAAATAGCATTTCTATTTATTATTTAAAATTATTTAAAATAGCATTTATTATTTAAAATAGCATTTCTAGACCACTTTTCAGCCTTCAGTTAGGGTCTGCAAAATGACTTACAATGCACCAAAACAATAAAATCATCAAACATTATAAGCAAAATGTGAAAGATTAGGAAGATATAAAGCAAAGAGATTGGAGAAATTAAAACAAATAAATGTTCTGCGTGCCATGTTTAATAGCCACAAATTGTAAAACGGTTGAGAACCTTAAGCAATCAAGCTAGTTTTTCAATGCCGCCCCAAGTTAAGACTGTGCTATTATCAGGGATCTTTAAGGGCTCATCTGTTACAGCAGACATATGGTTGAAGCCTCCAAAGCTGTTTGTTATCTGATTCATTTTTTAAATTGGAGAACACAGACAGATGTTACTAAACCAAATACACCTGAACACAAAGGTAAATGCTGCCGATCACTGTCAGACACAGAACAAATATGAGCCAGGAGTTTGTTAGTACAATGAGCCTGGAGAACACAAAGAAACTAAAAGCAAATCAATTTTTTGATAGCTGTTGGCTGGTTTCTTGAAAAAGCCAGCAGGGGCTTTAGCAGGTGGATCAGGATCCAAAGTGATCTAAAAAGTGGGTCAGATCACAGCCTAGTGGGGGGAATATGCGTTTCTATTTAGGAGAAGCAGAGAGGCAGTGAGAGAACGCGTGAGCAGATGGAGGGAAAGAGAAAAGCTTTATCCTTAATAACTGTGTAAAATACATTTTGATAGTTTTGGTTTTCTCACCACTGCACCAGCCAAAATGGCTTTGTCTACACAAAAATATGTGAGGGAAGAAGAGGATCTATATCGGTGTGGCTAACCTCAAACCCAGACACAAATGTACCCTCAAAGGCTCTCACCAGGCCACAACTTCCCCCCAGCCCATTCCTTGCCTGGATGAAATGTGTCCTTGTTCTTTATGGTAGCTAAGGATTTGCTCTAACTTTGCATTCCTCTTTATGGCATTATTTGTGTGCATGTTTACCCTTTTAGAAGGCTCTGAACTATGGACTATTTTTGAGCATGTCTGTAAATAATAAAGCAACTTCGAGAAATTTCCAAAAAGTTGTCAAAAAGAACAGAGATACAAGGGTGCACTCTTAAACCGTCCTCCATTTGTCCAGTAAGAAGAGTTGGGAAGGATTATGCCCTGTGTAGCCAGAGTGTGACCAGGTTACAAAAACATTGCATGATGGCCTCACCATATCAGAATACAGGAACAGTGACTCCTCCCCTTTCTCCCTGGATTGAGTCCAAAGCCCAGATATTAACTCAACATTCCTTCCCTAGTTGCTTCTGGGCTCTCTTAAGTGCTGTGTGCCCACTAAAAAGAAAGGAGACCACAGTGGATCAGGTTGCCAAACCAGCTGCCCTTCCTGGGCAGTAACCACAGCCCTGAAGTTGGGGCCTCTCCATGGTCAACATGGTTGACATTGACCAACAATCCTTCCAGGCCACATAGGCCGCAACAGCCCCAAAATGTGACAGGCTTCCCTAGACCACAATAGGCCAGTTACTGCAAAGACGACGAAAAGGTTGTTGAGGGACAGGACAGTCCATTAAGCTCTGCCCCTGGATACGATGTGCATCCCAACACCAGAATCTTTCACTGCTTCCTTCCCCTTGCTAGGGAGCAGATGCAATGCCTCTTCCCACCCCCCAACAAGTGTGGGAAATGGGAAGAGAGCTATATAATAAAAGAAGCAACTATATGAAAAACATACACTATTCAAGTTACAGTCTTACCTTGGTTCTCGAACATAATCTGTTCCGGGAGTCTGTTTGACTCCCAAAACCATTCAAAAACCACGGTGCAGCTTCTTATTGGCCGCAGGAGCTTCCTGCAGTCAAGCAGAAGTCACGTTGGACGTTCGGCTTCTGAAAAACGTTCACAAACTGGAACACTAACTTCTGGGTTTGCGGCGTTTGGGAGCCAAAACGTACGAGTACCAAGGCATTCGAGAACCTAGGTATGACTGTATACAGCAAACACATTTTCACATAATTCATATTTCCTGTAAGCTGCATCTGATAGCCATTAGTACAGCTGCCAGTTTTCATAACCAAGATTACTAATGCCCATTTCTTTTTCCAAGTAAAATTCCTGTGACCAAAACAGGTGATATTTTTCTAGAAAAAAGAGGTGCTGGAACTCACCATGAATACTTCCCTTGTATTTTTATCATGGCAATGAGTTCTGGTGAGTTTCAGCTGAGGCAAAAAAGCCCTGCTCAGTGGACAATGACTAACAGCATGCATAAAGGTTTCTCACTATGTAAGAGTGTGAGTCTCTCTCTCTCTCTCTCTCTCTCTCTCTCTCTCTCTCTGTGTGTGTGTGTGTGTAGTTCCAGATAAGCTCCTTCCATCTTCCATTAAACAAAATGTTTGCCAGCTTCTCCCTATCATTTGACCCCAATGAACAACGGACCTGCTTTCAGATGTTGTGCTTCACACAAGCCAACACTGGAACTACAATCAACTGTGGCTATTGAAAACTACACGGCAGCTGTTCTGCAGGGCAAAGTCATGGCCCTTATCTATTCAACTCATTCTTTTCATAGACTGGCGGCTCGATAAGATGGCTGGAGCTTCAGATCTTGTAGTAACACTTCCTCTCCCCCATGGGCACGGACAGAATTATTGTATGGCCAACAATATTTTCTACTTTGACCCTGGTGTAGCACTTCCTCAGTGACCTGGTAACGGCAGCTTTCAGTGCAAACTCCATGGTCAACACCATTAAAAAGCAAAGTTTCAGAGCAGACGGCAACATTCTTAAGGAAGTTGGCTTTGAAACCGGAAGAATGAAACTGAACATCTTTGTTATTATTTCATGCGAATATTCAGCCTACACATCCAGTCACTGAATTTAGCCCATTAAATGGCATTAAAGCCAATACGTGAGTGAAGTAACACACATTACCATCTGAAGACCATTAAGTCTGCTGTCTAAAACTGTTCTATTTAGCAGTTTGGGTGTGTTTTCTTTATATGTACAGTGCCAACACATGCACACAGAGGAGGAGGTTGAACATCAAATTATTTATTTCGATATTACATTTCTCTCACACAAACATTTCCCTCACACAAAAATTTCCTCCAAGGAGCTTCAAGTTGCATGCAGGATCCCCATTTTATCCTCACAACAACTCTGTGAGGTAGATAAGGCTGAGAGATGGCGACCAATCCAAGGGCACCCAGTGAACTTCACGCCCAAGACCACATTCACACCATACTATGATACCAAATTAAACAGTCATGCCTTCTCCCAAAGAATCCTGGGAGCTGTAGTTTGTTATGGGTGCTGAGAGCTGCAAGGAGACTCCAATTTCCCCACAGAGCTACATTTCTCACACTATCTGCAAAGAGGGGTTGGTTGCTAACCCACCCTGAGAATTAAAGTGGTATGGTGTGGAAACAGCCCAAGTGAGGATCTGAACCCCTGGTCTCCTAGATCCTAGTACCACACCACGACACTGGCTTATATATTACATACTTTGGTGTTTTGAGAGTTCGTTTGAATTAATGGTACTAAAAAAGGATGCCTTGACTACACTGAGATCCGAACCCCTTTGGCTTTCGAAAACCTATTCCATCTCATCAACAAACGTTGGGCCTGACACCTTGCTCATTTTGTCCCTCTGCAATTTTGCCTGTGTCTGTGCTCTCACACAGAATAATGACTGTGTGACCCAGAGGAACGGCTGCTTGACTGACTCCTCTTTGAAGGAAATAACAGGTTGGGAACCTATTTGTTCCCTCTCTATAGTACAGGAAAAGATATCAATAGAGCCCATTTGATATTGTCACCCAGATCAAAAAAGCAGCTTGCGAGGAAATGTGGAGACAAAACAAAGCGGGTCGATATTCGTCCTGCACCAAACAAGGTGTGTACAGAAAAGAATTTGGGCCTGGACTTGAAAAACTCCAACTGTCAAAGTGAACAGCACAAGTTGACGGTGCGCTTTGTGGCGCCGTCTTCACAGACAGTACCAAATGCATTTCTGACAACAAAGAGTTTGCAGGCACAGTGGAAAAATCAATATGGCAACCCAAAATGAAATTAGGTAGAATATAGAGGGACTGCTATGGATTTTGAACTGTGAAAGCATTTGCACTGTCACCTCTGGCAGAGAGGCAGGACACTCTGCTATTAGCAAGCAGGCAAGATTTATTTGATTTCTTGCCCACCCTTCACCATGAGGTCCCAAAGTGGGTTACAACCATTCAAAAATGCAATCTATTAAAATCCATTACAGCAAATTACAGTCAAGAGAAAAGGAGGGGGTCCTAAAATGTATATCTCATGTGTCAAAGGCTACAGTGAAGAGGTATTCAGCATACCATGAAAGCTGCATAAAGAAGGTGCCAGAAGGAATTCCACAACTTGGTCATAATAAACAGAGAATGCCCTCTCCAAGTCGCTACTAGTGTTTGACGTTTTATTATGTTTTTATCTTTTGCTGGAAGCTGCCCAGAATGGCTGGGGAAACCTAGACAGGTGGGTGTGGTATACAAAATTACAGTGGTACCTCAGGTTAAGTACTTAATTCATTCTGGAGGTCCGTTCTTAACCTGAAACTGTTCTTAACCTGAAGCACCACTTTAGCTAATGGGCCTCCTGCTGCTGCAGCGCTGCTGGAGCACAATTTCTGTTCTCATCCTGAAGCAAAGTTCTTAACCCAAGGTAATATTTCTGGGTTAGCGAAGTCTGTAACCTGAAGCATATGTAACCAGAGGTACCACTTTCTTTCTTTCTCTTTTTATTATTACCCCTTGAACCTCTGAGGGTGGTAGAGGTACCAAGGGAACTGATTACTATTATTAACATTTATTTATATAGCACCATCAATGAACACAGTTCTTTATGCAACTGTACAGCCTTTGGGGTAGAATTTCTTATTTTAATTGTGAATAGATGGCACTAGATAAATAATAAGAATAATAATACACTGGATGCCCTCTGTCCACCTACAATCTATTAACAAGACCTGCTGCTTATTTACTTTTGCACAGGATTTGGCCAGGGCCAAAACTGAGTCAGGCCAATTTGGGGGATCCAGGCACCATTTGAGTTGGGTCACGTCAAACCCATATTACTACAGATTGAGTGGCCCAGGGTGATCCAGGCAGGAGAGGCAGGCACCAACTGTATATTAAAACGCTCAGTCGATAGAACATGAGACTCTTAATCTCAAGGTTGTGGGTTTTGAACCCCATGTTGGGGATGGGGAGATTCCTGCATTGCAGGGGGTTGCAACAGATGATTGTCGTGGTCCCTTCCGACTCTGCCAGTCTATGAAAGGAAGGAGGAAAAACCTCAGATACGCCCAGGAGAGTAAGATGGTTTTGGAAAGTGTATAGTTTCTGAAGGTGTGAATTGCGTAGATTTGCCAGTAAATGCAAACTGAATTTAATTTATGTCCCACCCCTAGCCACACCTTGGCAACACTATTGCCCCATCTTTTGATGCACTTTCTCTCTCTCTCTCTCTCTCTCTCCTTCAGAACTTAGATTTTGTATAATCCAAGTTCTGCTGTATTTGCAGTACAGGCCTGCTGAATCAATTCCCATGGGATGGGGTTATTCAAACAAAAGGAGTACAGTTTGTTAACTCTAACTTTAACCATATTACACCACTGTGAAACAATAATAAACAGAGTTCCACTTGGATACCAGAGCATAGCTGTCAACTTACAGATTTGAAAGTAAGGGACCAGCAGCCTCGAAAATAAGAATTCAGCAGCCAAAATAAGGGATTTTCCAGGCACAGGTATGTTCAACTTCTGAGCCCCTCTGAGCCAAAGGCAGAAAGCCCAGCCAGCAGCCAAACGAAGCTCCAAGCGGTGGTTCCCACAGCGCAGCAACCCGGCAAAGGGGATGCAGCAAGGAAAACCACCGTCACCTCTCCACTGGGAAGCGCTGAGCAAAGGCGAGTCCCCAGGCAACGTGGCCGATTTGGTCGGCACAAGGCATGCAAGCTCAAGCTCCACCCCCCAGTCATTCTTAGACTCCTTATTGGGTGAGCAACGCAGCCAAGCAACACAGTTGGAGCCGCCCTTCTCCCTGGCCAGCAGGGAGGGAGAGGAGCTGCTTCCTTTGAAACCCGGGAAATTTAAGGGACATCATCAATAAGGGACAGCAGCGGGACACGGCGCTGGGATAAGGGAGTTTCCCCGCCAAATAAGGAACGGTTGACAGCTATGTACCAGAGGTGTGCCCTTTTGTGGGGAAGGGGGGTGGCGACAGCACTCCTGTGTCTTTCAAATGCATGGTAGAAGGAAATTCAGCAGCCTAAACTTTCCCCATAATTGCTTCTCAATATCAGGGAAGCATGTTGAATTTCTGCCTGACCCCCACCTATTGGTGATACAAAAACCTTCCTAGAAAAAGGCAGCGTAAAGCTTAGTTGGCTCTGACATTTACCTGCTATAGAATCTGACTGATATTTATCTTCCGACAGCTACAAAGAGATCTGTGATGCTTCCTGAAAACCCTATCAAAATATCAAGTTCAAATGCTTTGTTCATGTGCCTTCCCCTCCTTTAGGTGGTGGGCTTAGAGGTCAGGAGAGGCTTATGGCCTGAAATAATGAGGGGCAGGGAGCAGACGGGTGGCTAAGTCAATATGAAACATCAAACTTCTAAATAAAAGTGATCTAATGTAGTCAAATGTGTTGTTTCAGTAACAAAGGAAGAATTCTTTTTAAGGGCTTACTCTCCAAGTCCTTGCTAATTATCCCAGTGACTTTGAATTGCTACCCAAAGGAGGAGGCCAGCCACTGAGAGGCAACAGGATGCTCCTTTGCCACCCTTTCTCGGGACAAGCATTGGCTAATCCTCCTTTCCAGGCTCGGTGGCGGAAGCACTGTCTGGGGAAGTAGGGACATCCCAGGATCAAATCAAATGCTAGTACAGTAGTACCTCAGGTTAAGTACTTAATTCGTTCCAGAGGTCCGTACTTAACCGGAAACGGTTCTTAACCTGAAGCACCACTTTAGCTAATGGGGCCTCCTGTTGCTGCCACGCCGCCGGAGCACGATTTCTGTTCTCATCCTGAAGCAAAGTTCTTAACCTGAAGCACTATTTCTGGGTTAGCGGAGTCTGTAACCTGAAGCATATGTAACCTGAAGCGTATGTAACCTGAGGTACCACTGTATGGCTTTCGTGGTTCCAGGACTGTCCCTGAAAAATCAGGACACTTGGAGTGTATGTGCTCAGCAAAACTGGTATTATTTCATAGATTACAAATTTCTTGGGAAGGATACTTGCGCAATATAATTAGCAAACACATCATAGACACAACTTGCCTTTTGGCCTAGATGAGGAGTCAAGTGTGGGGATCTCATGATCAGGTTCAAATGTGCTCTGTCCACGCTTGCTTTTACCTAGCTAGAACCCCTGTGTCTAAACCTGTGGATTTTGCATGAGTTGAAGGTGGCCTTGTAGCAAGGCAAGCATCACATCCCTTGCTTTGCCCATTTTTGTCTTTGCCTTTGACCACATCCACCACTGATATGTGGCCCCCAGAAAGTTACCCATGTGGCCCTCAGGCTGAAAATGAGATTCCTTGCCCCTTTGGGCCAAGCTCAAACTATCCTTGAGATGCAGTAGCAATGGGCTACCATCTCAAAGCAGCTCTACTGATGAATCAAAGCATTGCAAAACTGCAGTAAGAATCGCTCAAATTTAGCAGAGCTGGTACAAGGCATTCTGGCATAAAGTATTCCTGCTGGCAGAACCTCCTATGAAGAATAGCACATGCACTGGTGGGACGTACTGTCTTCCAGGCCCGCTCTCTCCCACATTTCAATTCCTAAAAAACCTTTCCTTTCCTTCTGAAGGACTCTCAATATTCTCTGACCTCTTTGCATTTAAGAGAGCAATAAGAGTGGAGGAGAAAAGGGGGCACATAATATCCGCTTGTCAAATTTCTCCGTATCGATTTTAGCAACACTTCTCAAATGGATTTCCTAAGTGTGTCATATACTATCAATACAGCCATGATGACCTCATGCACATTGAGCTGCTTCTGAACAGCTCAGCAAATGTGTGTGGTCTATTAAGACATTTTCCAACAGGAGGAGGAGTTCTGTTCCGTTTCCCAATTAACAAGAACATTGCCTTTGCAAGGAAGGAAGGAAGGGGAAGTCTCTTGGCTTCATACCATCTGCAGACCAAACAAAATGTTACATGGCAGATGCTAGTAAAAAGCTCCCACTTTTTATTATCACCCATAAGACTGCTAGTTTGAAAAGAGGCAGGGCTATTTTAACACTTTCCCCTTCATCCCTGCCCCCCTCAAAAGGAAAACCCAAGGATTCAAAAAATTGCTTTTTACCAGTATCTCTTCCCTTGCAGGCACAAACTAAACAAAACAATTGTGCACAGGCAATTTTGAGAAGGAAAGGGGTTGGAGAAGGGTTAAACAGCTGCTCCACACAGCTTTCTCAACTCAAACTGACAGTCTTCAGCCTTCTCTGGGGGGAAAATATTGGACTAATTAATACCACACAGATATACATGTGCAGGGGTGCCAAGCCAACTTGAATAAAATATGGGGGGCAGGTAAGCCCCGTCCCACATACTTGATCACGAGAAGTGGTGCACACAACATTTGAATAATAACGCGCTTTGGTGGGGCCTGGCCCTCTCAAATATATTATGGGGAGGGTGGGTTGAAAGGACCTCGACCCCTAGGAGTTGGCTCCTATTACTATAAATGCTGTAAATTATGTACATGGTGCTTTTCAGAGTCCTTAAAGAAAAAAAACCCCACCCTGCCGCAAGAAACTTACAGTTGATGTTCCCCCACAGGGACGTTTTGGAAGTCTTGAATGATCATATTACTACTAGATTCAGGTAGGTAGCCGTGTTGGTCTGACACAGTCTATATATATATATATATATATATATATATATATATATATATATATATTTAAAAAAATTGTCCAGCAGCACCTTAGAGACCAACTAAGTTTGTTCTTGGTATAAGCTTTCGTGTGCATGCACACTTCTTCAGATATACTGAAACAGAAGTCTGTTTCTGAAATTCTGTCTTATTACAAAAGAATTTCAGAAACAGACTTGAAAGAGCAGTTGCTAAATTACAACTAAATTTAAAACTATGGTGAGACCTGGTCTTAATAGAGATATTGGATTCCTGTCTCATTACATATGCTAATCATCTGCATACTATCCCTTGCTTTTTCCTTTAGGACTAATTGCAGTTGTCAACAGGTTTACCATACCCATTAAGTCAATCACCCATCTCCTACTACCCTTCTGAGAAAAACCCCACACCCCACCCTCCCACTATATATAAGGATCTGGTGACTTCTGTTTCACTGTATCTGAAGAAGTATGCATGCACACAAAAGCTTATACAAAGAACAAACTTAGTTGGTCCCTAAGGTGCTACTGGACAATTTTTTAATTTTTATATATATTTCATATTACTACTGCTTCACATTTTTGGAAGGGCAGCTTGAAGACAACTCCCATAATCCCTGGCCATCGGTCATGCTTCCTAGGGCTGATGAGATGGCAGCTCAGCAACATCTGGCAGACCAAAGGTTCCCCACTCCTGTATTATCTGGTGGAAGTAAGTATCTCACATAGGTACCTCTGCATATGCAGAGGGGTACATTCTGTTGTGACCAGATCTTTCTTATATGGGGCTCAGGTGGTTGGGCTGTGGTCCATCGTACCATGCGTCCTTGCACTCCCAAGCAGCGTGGAGAGCTGTGCCTCTCAAAACAACAAAACAAACAGAACTGCCACCATTGCCAAGGAAAGGAGTTGCATCCTCCTATGTCTGCTAATAGCAAACCCCTGCTCTTAGCATATATCCTTATAATGTAGCCAAAAGGGCACCTTTGGTGCACAAGAGGACTCAGAGGAACCCTGGGGTTTGCAGTAGTACAATAAATCCTTGGGATAGACCTTAACAAGGAGAAGCCCAAACAGCCCAATGACTATTGGTAATGGTACAGAAAGCCATACAGGAAGAGTTAATAGAATATTCTGGAAAAAGAGTGTTCTGGCAGGCTGGCATCCTTAAAGGAGCACTCCACACTGCAATGTTTTGTTGCACATTCCAGTGTGTGTGTGTGTGTGTGTGTGTGTGTGTGTGTGTGTGTAGAAAAAGATGAAGGAAATTTTTTTGTAACACGTGATCCTGTGATGAAATGGCACGATTAGTTATTGGTGGGAGAAAATACTCTGCA